GGGGGGGAATAGGCATAGGGGGGGATGCATCGACCTGGAGTCGGCGATACATCGCCGATGGATCGGCGACAGGCCTCCGATAGCGAATCCGCACCTCCTTCCTGGGCGGGCTGGGGCCATCGGGCCCCTGACGGCGATCACTGGGCGACTGGGGGTCGATGCATCCCCCCCGCTGCCGATCCCCCCCCCCATCGTTGCCCCCGACGCACGACGGGAACCCTGGCGACAACGCATCTCGGGGCGCACTCCGTGCCGATCTCCCACGGCCCTGTTATAGAGTGCCCCAGGGCTTCTCCCTGGGGCTCCCCCGGGGTGCCTCGGGGGACGAAGAGGAAACCTCAGGGGGGCGCCTGCCCGCAGGCCGGCTTCCTATGTTGGCGTGCCCACTGTAGATTCGCTGGGGAGCCTCATCGAAGACTTAGGTCGGGCGTGTCCCCCTACAGGCCGATTTTGGACGAAAAGCGAACAATAGTCAAAACATACGCCAAGATGATCAGAAACAGTAGAAAAATCGTCCCGAGACTATTTTTGGACTATGTTTGAATAGTCCTCCTGTAGAGCGACAGGCCCGCCTTCATCGACGACATGGGCGATCGGAGCCTCTGGATTCGTGTGATGCTCTCCCTCGAGCCGTCCGCCGCTGTTGCCGGCGCCGAGCTTGACTACAGACATGCTCTCGCGCTCCTTGGCCGCCCGCTGCCCGCCCCCCGGGGGGCCGAACGCAACGTCGGGGACGAGCTTGCCGGTGCTGCCAGAGCCCGCCCTGGAGGAGTAGACGCGGCCCCCGGCGGGGTCCGACTGCCCCATCTTGGCCAGCTGCACCGTCTGGTCCTGCCAGGGCAATCGGGGAGAGATGCATGAGAGCGAAACTGAGAGCAGATGTTGAGCGGGACGACCAGCTGGATGAGCAGCTGGACGTAGAGCGGCGGAGAGCGGGAGCTGGGGCCCTCCTGGACCGTCTCGGCGGCCTCTTGGAGCCCCCTTTGCCCGTCTTGGGACCCTGTTGGTCCTGCAGCCACTCGCTGGGGTAGTGCACCTCGTACTCGTCGGCGTAGTACCCCCGCAGGCCCTCCACGGCGTAGAGGGCGTCCAGCTTCAGGTCCATGACCACGGGCCCGGCCTGCGGGAAGGCCCGGATCAGGAACTCGGTCTCGCCCCACAGGTTCGCCACGAGCCCGATGGTGGGCGCGATCAGCGCCGCCAGCAACACCTTCGTTGGGCGTGACGGGGACGGCTCCCGCGAGGCCCGGTCCCGGACCCCGTGGGGGCCCCAGGGGCCAGCTCTTCCCCGCGGGTCGTTGCTGCTGGCAGCCGCGGGGCCCGCGGATGCGACTGTCGCTGGATGCGTTCCAGGATGAAGTCGGGCGTGTGCCCCTACAGTCGGGTTTTGGACGAAAAATAACACATAGTCCAAAGTACACCTAAAATGATCAAAACAAAAATCGTCCACGGACTATGTTCTGGCTATTTTTGAACACTTCCTCCTGTGGAAGGACAGGCCCGACTTAATTCTAGGAGTTCTTGAGTCGCGGCCCTCGGCGATTCGTGCTCGACCGATCATTCCTCCCTGGGCCGCGCGGGGTAGCCCAAGAACCTGGAAATCTGGGAGCGCCTCATGATCACCACTCCTTCCCAAAACTCCGACGTGCTGTTTTTGCTGTACACCATGGGCCCCTGGAAATCTGGACCCCTTCCCGACGCCCCGCTTTTGACAATCCCGGGGCCCGATGAGGACCCCGAAACGTCCCGCCGTGACTTTTTCGCGACGAAAGGAGGTGTCGTTGTGGTGTTCATTAGGTTTGATGTTACGAGGCGGTCGCTCCGCAGAGCGAGCAGTTCGTAGCTCCTTCGGGCCCCCCTCCGCTATCCCCGCTTGCGGCAGCACCCGTCTGCCCCTCGGCGTGCTGGGTGTACGTGTGGGCAGCGCTTCCAAAGTCGGGGGCAGCGGGGGGGCCCTTTCTGCGGGAGCGACAAAACGCGTTACCCCACGCAGTGGCTAGAATTTTGTGCCTGCGGGAGGACGAGGAGGAGGAGGAGGAGGAGGAGGAGGAGGAGGAGGAGGAGGAGGAGGAGGGGAGCAGAGGAGGGAGGAGGAGGAGAAGGAGAAGGATGGAGGAGGAGGGGGAGGACGGAGGAGGAGGGGAGGAGGAGGAGGAGGAGGAGGAGGAGGAGGAGGGGGACGGAGGAGGAGGAGGACGGAGGAGGGAGGAGGAGGAGGAGTAGGAGGAGAGGGGAGGAGGAGGAGGAGGCGGAGGAGGAGGAGGAGGAGGAGGAGGGAGAGGCGGAGGAGGAGGAGGAGGAGGAGGAGGAGGAGAGGAGGAGGAGGAGGAGAGGAGGAGGGGAGGAGGAGGAGGGAGGAGGCAGGAGGAGGAGGAGGGAGGAGGAGAGGAGGGGGAGGAGGAGGAGGAGGGAGGAGGAGGAGGACGAGGGCCCCGAAGCATCCCGCCGTGCTCTTTGTCGCGACGAGAGGCGGTGTGGCTCCCTCTGCCGTTGCCTTCGGGTCTCCCGCGGCCGCTCGGGACGGTGCGGGCACGCCCCGGGAACGCGCTCTCTCGCTCGGCGCGCGGGGCGCCGCTGCTGGGAGAACGACTGCCAGGGGGCGGGTGCAAACCTCCAGGGCCCGACGGAAGCGCCAGAAAACCTCTACATAATAATACTAATAATAATAATAACAATAATAATAATAATAATAATAATAATGATAATAATAAAAATAATAACAATAATAACAATAATAATAATAATAATAATAATAATAAATAAATAAATAAATAATAATAATAATAAGAAGAAGAAGAAGAAGAAAAAGAAGAAGAAGAAGAAGAAGAAGAGCGCGCTGAGTCCGCCGGACGGCCGAGGAGCAGCGCGGGTGGGCCGGAGCCCGGTTATTGCATGTGGTGGAGGAAGGCGTCTTCCCCGGGCATTTCCAAGCGCGTCATTTCCAAGCGCGGCAGAAAACCTCTGCAGGGCAGTTTTAAAGACATGGGATCTTTAAACATACAGGACTATAATCCACGAATGAGTTTATGCGTGAACTCATCGTTGTTTTTGGTACGAAATCCCGGCATTTTTAATGCACGATCCGCACGCGGAGCATGTACTAAAAACGGCACCGTAGCCTGGAGGCTGCTCCTGCATGGCCCATATCCGAAACAGAAAGAACGCCATAAACATAAAAACTTGTGGCGCTCCGCGCGTGTTTCTCGGATCTGCGCTGGAGCCCCCCTTCCCTTCCTGGCGCGCAGGCCGCGCCAGGGGCGGCGCCGGAGGCGCCGCTGGGGGGCCCCAGCGCGGATCCAAGAGATCCGCGCGGAGCGCCAAAAGCTTACCCTGAGATCCGACGTTGCATCTAAATTGCAACCTCGCGAAACATTGCGCCCGGAGACCCGGACCCCCTCTCTCCGCGTCCTTCTTCGAGCGGGGTCGATCTGCGAGGGTCCCGGGGCCCGAGACCGAGCGAGGACGCCCGGCGCGAAAGGAAGATGCAACGCCAGGACCTCTCGGGGTGCACGGCCCATCCCTGAGACCCTGGCGCGTTGCAATTTTTTTGGCCACGGGCGTTGTCGCTCGAGTTCGGGCCCCGGGACCCTCACCGATCGATCGGGCTCGAAAGATGACGCGGGAAGATGAGGTCCGGGTCTCCGGGCGTGATTTTTGTGTGATGCGCACTTTTTTGTTTGCAACGTCGCCTTTCGAATTGCACGTCGTTCATTTATCCTCGTGCTCATATTTCTGACTGTGCTCGTTTCTGATTGTCCCTGGCCCCCTGGTGGCCAGGAAGAGGCCCAGGAGAGAACAGTTAGAAATGAGAGGATCTTGGCCCCCCAAAAAAACAAAGAGCTTGCGAAGAATTAGACATGAGCGCTGTGTACGTGGCGGCCCTGACTCCGGATCCGTCCTACTTTGGGGAAATTCGTAAGTGGGGCTTGGAATTTCCGCCTTACTTTTCAGGCCCCGCTGATGCCAGTTTCCGCCCTACTTTTCTGTGGCTGCTTCCGCCCTACTTCCGTGGATTTCCGCCTTATTTTATGTTGGGCGCAGAAATTTCCGCACTTTTCCGACTTCTTATAGGTGGATTTCCGACGCAATTTTAAGTTGGAAAAAAAGCCAAAGTAGGGCGGATCTGTAGTCAGGGATGAGCACTGTGTACGTGGCGGGGGCACCCTCTCGGGCGAGGTGTTCAGGAGCGCCAGGTCCCGCCGGAGCTCGCCCGGCCTGCCGAAGGCCCAGGTCCACGGGTCCACGCCGCCGCGCCCCGCCGCGGCGCCCCTGCGTGAGCAGGGACCGACCGTCAAGGGGTTCCTGCAGTCCTACCACGACATGTTCTTGAGACCCGCCCCCCCAAAAAAAACATGTTCTTAGAGCATGAACCCGATGTGTGAGACCGAGACGGGCTCCGCCAGAACTGTTCTGAGAACATCTCGCGGGAGCCGCAAGCGGTTCTTAGAACGTTGTTTGTTAGGGCTATAGGCTTATGTCGGGCCTGTCCCCCATACAGGGGGATTTTCGACGAAAAATTAAAAATACCCCCCAAAATACAAAAAAAAAAAAAACAAAAAAAATACTCAAAAAATAATCCCCAGACTATTCTTGGGGTATTTTCTATCTTCCGTCGAAAATCCCCCGGTAGGGGGACAGGCCCGACCTAACTGCAGCCAGGACGCTTCGCCGCTGCTCGACCTGCCCCCGCCCGGGCCCTCGCCCGGCGCGGCGCCCTCCGCGGCCGCAGGGCCGTCGGCCGCCTCGCCGCCTGCGGCGAGACGCAGGACGGGGCCCCTGCCGGCAGGATTGGCCTCCTCTGCGCGGGCCCCCTCGGCCCCTGAAGACGGGACGGGGTGGTCACGAGCGGGCATCATACCCAGACCCCCTCGAATCATGAAACAATCACGACGGGAGGTTTTTCGCCATTTTCGGCCTCGGAGGGCCCTTACCGGGCCTCGGGAGCGTCAAAAAACGACTCGGGATGAAAAACCGGTCCCGGGGAATGGGTCTGGAGTCTGGACCTCTGGGGGTCGCGTCATGGAAAAATCATGACGTCGGGGGTCTGGGTAGCCGGCTCAAAATCAAAAGAGGCATCATAGCTCATAGCCTCATCCGTCTAGATTGATCCACTCACGGATCCGCTGCGGTTGATTTCCATGGATTTCATTCCATGCGTAGCATGCTCTCCCCTCGCGCGGGGACACCAACACCATGACCCAGACACGATCGCGCCGTTCTAAGAACTCAGGACGGGAGGTTTTCTTGGCCATTCTCGGCCCCGAGGGGCCCTCGCCGGGCCTCGGGGACGTCAAAAAACGAGTCAGGACGAAAAACCGGTCCCGGGGAAAGGGAAGGGACTTAAGTCCCTTCCCTTTCCCCGGGACCGGTTTTTCGGGACGGCGTCCCCGCAATTGCGGGGACGCCGTCCCGAAAAAAAATCAGGACGTCGCATGTCTGGGGACGGGATCGGGGTCGTCCCAACTGTCGGCCTCCGGGAGCCCTCGCGGGGCCCCGGGGACCGTCCGGAAACGGCTCCGGGATGAAAGACCGGTCCCCGGGCAAGGGGCCCCGATCTCCAGCTGAGATATCCGAGCATTGCCAAAACAAAAACTCAACATCGCCAAAAATCACTTCCCGCGTCATTTTTCGAGCCCGATCGATCTGTGAGGGTCCCGGGGCCCGAAATCGAGCGACACCGCCCGTGGCAAAAAAATTGCAACGCCAGGATCTCCGGGCCCCCGGACGCTGCAGCCAAAAAGTGGCAGCCTCGCGAAAAGCCGCCCCCGCGGGGCCCCCGCAACCGATCCTTCTGCGCCACTTCTCTATGGCCCGGTCGACGTGAGAGCCCCGCGGGGCCCGAAGTAGGGGCGAGCGGGCGCCCGGCGTGGCAGAATTGCCACGCCAGAATCTCAGGGTCTGGGGGTCGACGTTGCGAACAAAAGTCGCGACGTCGGGGGTCCGGGACCCTTGCGCACGGTGGGCGGCAGGGACGGCGTGCGTGCCTTGGAGCAGGGACCGACCGTCCCGGCATTCCTCCAGGCCTACCACGACACGTTCTCTTAGAACCCAAATATGTTCCAACGGCAAAAAAACGTTCCTAGAACATACGCCTGGCGCACTGCAACAAGACAGTCCCAGGCAGAAATGTTCCAAGACCAGCTCGCAGAAACCACCACAGGGTCCTTATAGAACATTGCTTGGTGGGCCAATAGGCACGCCCGGACGCTTCGCCACGCTTCCTCCTCCTCCTCCTCCTCCTCCTCCACCTCCTCCACCTCCTCCGCCTCCGCCTCCGCCTCCCCCCTCCCCCCCCTCCTCCCCCTCCTCCTCCTCCTCCTCCTCCGCCTCCTCCTCCTTCCTCCTCCGCGCTTGGACGCCTTGCTCCCTTCGCGCACCAGAGGCCGCTCCGGCGCAGGGCCACTCTTTGTGCGCCCCGCCGCCGCCTGCGGACGGCGCTGGCCCGGCGAAGGCAGCGAGGGGCGGATGGCCCGGGGGCCCAGGTCCCCAGACCCCCGACGCCGTGATCTTCTTCACCACGTCGCCCCCTACCCAGACCTCCTCGAGTCATGAAACAATCACGACGGGAAGTTTTTCGCTATTTTCGGCCTCTGAGGGCCCTTACCGGGCCTCAGGACCGTCAAAAAACGACTCGGGATGAAGAACCGGTCCCGGGGAATGGGTCTGGACCTCTGGGGGTCGCGTCATGAAAAAATCATGACGTCGGGGGTCTGGGTATCAAGGTCTGGACCCCTTCCCCGGGACCGGTCTTCCTCCCGGGTGGTCTTTTGCCGGTCCCGAGGTCCGGTGAGGGCTCCCAGAGGCCGGGCCGCAACGCGATTTTCGTCGAGGAGGAGGAGGCGGTGGAGGAGGAGGAGGAGGAGGAAGAAGAGGAAAGGAGGAGGAGACCGTCGTGATTTTTTCACAACGCGAGGGTGTCTGGGTCTCCGAGGCCGCGCTGTGCTTATCCGCCGGCACCTGTTCCTCGCTTTCGGCCTCGTGGGCCCAGCAGCGGGCTCCATCACATGTATACTGGTACGACCACCCTTCGGGTGATAAGGAGGTTGTGGGGGGAAGACGGGGGGGGACAAGCATCTGACTCCATCGATCTCACGATCGATCTCACTCGACGGGACACCACGGGACGCCACGGGACACTCGTCGATCTCACGATCGGTCTCACTATCGATCTCACTCAAAGGGACACCACGGGACACCACGGGCCACCACGGGACACCACGGGACACCGCGGGACACCTCTCGATCTCACTATCGGTCTCACTATCGATCTCACTATCGATCTCACTCAACGGGACACCATAGGACACCACGGGACCACGGGGCCACCGAGGGACACTCTCGCGATCTCACTATCGATCTCACTATCGATCTCACTCAACGGGACACCACGGACACCACGGGCCACCACGGGACACCACGGGACACCGCGGGACACCTCTCGATCTCACTATCGGTCTCACTATCGATCTCACTATCGATTGACTCAACGGGGCACCACAGGACACCACGGGACACCACGGGACACCGCGGGACACTCGTCGATCTCACGTCGGTCTCACTATCGATCTCACTCAACGGGACACCACGGGACAACCACGGGCCACCAGGGACACCACGGGACACCGCGGGACACCTTCGATCTCACTATCGGTCTCACTATCGATCTCACTATCGATCTCACTCAACGGGACACCATAGGACACCACGGGACACCACGGGACACCGCGGGACACCACATCGATCTCACTATCGGTCTCACTATCGATCTCACTCAACGGGACACCACGGGACACCACGGGACACCTGTCGATCTCAGTATCGATCTCACTGTCGATCTCACATTTTGGGCACCACGGGACACCAAGGGACACCTCGGGGCACCACATTGACCTCACTATCGATCTCACCATCGATCTCACGATCGATCTCACTCAACGGGACACCACGGGACACCTGTCGATCTCACTATCCATCTCACTATCGATCTCACTCAACGGGACACCACGGGGCACCACATCGACCTCACTATCGATCTCACGATCGATCTCACTCAACGGGACACCACGGGCCACCACGCGACACCACGGGGCACCAAGGGACACTGCGGGACACCGCGAGCCACCGCCAGACGGACGGACGGACGGGCGGGCGGGGGAGAATCATTTGTATTGACTACGCCCTAACAACGGCGGACACCACGGGACACCACGGGACACCACGGGACACCACGGGACACCGCGGGACACCGCGAGCCACCGCCGGACGGGCGGGAGGGGGAGAATCATTTGTCTTGACTTCGCCCTAGCAACGGCGGACACCACAGGACACCACGGGACACCACGGGACACCACGGGACAGCACGGGACACCGCGGGACACCGCGAGCCACCGCCGGACGGGCGGGAGGGGGAGAATCATTTCTCTCGACTTCGCCCTAGCAACGGCGGGTTTATTCCTCTCGCGAGCCCGCGCAGCTTCGCCACGCCCGCACGTACGACACGAACGAAACGAAACGATTTCCTGGTTGGGGGTCTCCGTTCCGCTGCGATATCACCCCTCAACCTCCGGTATCTACCCTTCGGGTGATAAGGAGGTTGTGGGGGGGGAAGAAAGGGGGGGAACCAACATCCGACTCAATCGATATCACAATCGATCTCACTCAACGGGACACCACGGGATGCCACGGGACATTTGTCGATCTCACTATCGATCTCACTCAACGGGACACCACGGGACACCACGGGCCACCACGGGCCACCAACGGGACACCGCGGGACAACTCTCGATCTCACTATCGGTCTCACTATGCATCTCACTATCGATCTCACTCAACGGGACACCACGGGACACCACGGGACACCTCGGGACACCACATCGATCTCACTGTCTATCTCACTGTCGATCTCACTATCGATCTCACTCAACGGGACACCACGGGACACTTGTCGATCTCACTATCGGTCTCACTATCGATCTCACTCGAAATGGACACCACGGGACACCACGGGCCACCACGGGACACCACGGGACACCGCGGGACACCTCTCGATCTCACTATCGGTCTCACTATCGATCTCACTCAACGGGGCACTTGTCGATCTCACTATCGGTCTCACTCAACGGGACACCACGGGACACCACGGGATACCTCGCGACACCACATCGACCTAAGTATCGATCTCACCATCGATCTCATTACCGATCTCACTCAACGAGACACCACGGGACACCACGGGACACCTGTCGATCTCACTATCCATCTCACTATCGATCTCACTCAACGGGACACCACGGGACACCTCGGGGCACCACATCGATCTCAGTATCGACCTCACTATCGATCTCACTATCGATATCACTATCGATCTCACTCAACGGGACACCACGGGACACCACGGGACACCGCGAGCCACCGCCGGACGGACGGAAGGCGGAGGAGCAACATTTGTCTTGACTTCGCCCTAGCAACGGCGGGTTCATTCCTCTCGCGCGCGACACCACGGGACACCACGGGACACCGCGGGACACCGCGGGCCACCGCCGGACGGACGGAAGGCGGAGGAGCAACATTTGTCTTGACTTCGCCCTAGCAACGGCGGGTTCATTCCTCTCGCGCGCACGCGCAGCTTCGCCTCGCCCGCACGCACGACACGAACGAAACGAAACCAGTTTCCGCTTGGGGGTCTCCGTTCCACTGCGACCTCACCCCCCAACCTCCGATATTCCTCGTCCAATATTTTTATAAGCCCGGGCGGGGGGAAAACCCGTCCCCCCCCCCCCCAAACTGGACTCCCGGGATCTGGGGCTTTGGGACCCTCCGGACGGGCCTCAAAGCGGTTCCCGGGCCTCGCAGGGCGTTTTGCCAAGCCTTCCCAGCACACCTAGGGCGATCAGGGGGGTCACCGGAGACGTCCCAGGGACCCCCAAGACAGCACAACAGCGCTCCAAGAGTGACCGACGTGACCTCAAGATGGCCCAAGAGGCCTCCAGGACGGCCCCAAAGAGGCCTCCAAGAGCACTCCCAAGAAGGCCCTCAGAGGCACAAATAATTGATTTTCTGTCGGTTTTTGGTGAATTTTGGTGTTCTCCTCTTTTCGACTTCCCGACGCTCCAAAACGGCGGTCTTCTGGGCGTCCGAAGCCGCCTGGGAGGCTCCAGAATCGCCCCAGAACCATCCGACAGGGCTTCCAGGCAGTACAAGAGAGCCCCAAAATGGCACATCAGTGGTCCAAGATGGCCCTCAGAGAGCCCCATGGCGGCCAAAGATGGCCCAAAGACATCCTCCGAAGCACTCCAAATCGTGACCCGGTCGTTCAGGGAAGCCGCGGTTGGGGGCAGGGTGGCTCGAGGAAGCCCCCAGAGGCCCCCAGAATACGCCCAGGAGGCCTCCAGAAGGCCTTAAGGAAACCTGAAACAACTTTTGTGAGGCCCCCAGAGGCTCTCCAAGGAGGAGCCTCCGCAGAAAAGAGCTGAGGATGGCGAAAATGAAAACAAAGAAGCGTGGAGGAAGGATATCGAATAACATTATTACAGCGGCGATGCCAGAGAATGCAACAAAGAGTTATCGCTAATTTGTCGGCTTGACCTTTCTGCTATTCCACCTGCATACCAAATTTCAAGGACCAAGGTGCATGGCGCGAAGCGCCACTGCAGTCTTGTGTATTATATATATATATATATATATATATATATATATATTCATATATATATATGTATATATATGAATATGTGCATACACACTATATACATATATACGCGTATAACTACATAGGCACAAATATGTATATGAATATTTATAGAGAAAGAGAGAGAGAGAGAGAGAGAGAGACAGAAAGAGAGAAAAAGAAAAAGATGGATCCAGGGCGAAAAACTGGCCTCGGCATGGGGCCGCGCATTGAAAAAGCCAGACCCCGGCAGGCGTCAACAATGAAGCGCGAGCGCTGCACGCACTCGCAGGGAAGCCTCGTCGAGGACGTGGGGCGATCGGGTGCCCCGGACACTTGCCCACACCCCCTCCGAGAATACGATTTGTCGATCTGCGGCCCCAGAATTCCCGACCCCTTTCCACCGGGGTCGTTTTGCGTCCCGAGCCTAATTATTGTTTATGGCCCCGCGGCCCATTGATGGGCGCTCGAGGTCAAAGTCGAGCAAGCGCGCCAATATCAAGCCGCCTCGGGGAAATCCTGCCGTCGGAGATCAAAAGGTGCTGATCTCCCTGGGCCTGTCTTGGCGGCACCCGCAAGCGGGCGGCGCAGGGGCGATGGGTTTCCCAGAAGGCGGAGCGGCTCCTTAGAGGGAAGGGGCCTTCTTTAGAAAAGCCCAGAGGCGCTTCTCTGAGAAGGCTTCTGAGAAGCTGGATCCCCGCACCTTCTCAGAAGAAGCACCGTCGCACTCTTAGGGGAACGACGAAGGACATAAACATGAAAACTCGGAGGTCCGCTCGGATCCGCGCTGGACCCCCCTCCCTAGCGCGCGGAGCGCGCCAGGGGCGGCGCCGGAGGCG